TGTNTATATATATATATATATATATATATATATATATATATATATTTACGATTGTAACTAGGTACCTTCGTGTGATTCCCGAACTTTTGTTTCAGTAGATCAATCATTTTCAAACTTTGGGAGCTTGTTTGATATTGTGGTACTCCCCTAAACAAATTATTTTTACATTAATAACATGACCAGTTTTCTTTTTTCTATTGTTTTATGCGAGACGACGTTCCCATCTGTTTAAGGTTGTCTTTAATTGATCTTTTAAAGCAAATTTATAGTTGGCAGGATGCTTGAGCAAGGCGTGGCAGTATGTAGCGGTGGTAATAAACCAATTGGTATGGAATCGGCCAACGAAGTAGTCACTGCTGATGCTGTAAGTATTTCTTAAAAAATAGTACAATTACGGTCTCAGAAGAAAAAGAAAAGTTTTTATACATTCCTTTAAGGTTGTTGTTATAGCATTTTTAATTTAACTTTATCGTTATAACTTTATTTGTAATTCTCGGATTTTCGTATCTGATTTTAACTATATCGATTTTACTTTCCGACTACATTCGAATCCCGACAATATAGTTGGTGTGAGGACCAAAATCTTAAAAAATGTCACTGCTAATTCATATTGGTCAATAAGGCCTAGTTTTTAAATCTCTAGTATTACATAGTTCCTGATTGTTGTGTTATTTTTCCTACCATGTGGACGGAAATTTGCCTTTGAAATTTCGAAAAGTTTTGACTGGTAAAGATAGCACATTTATTCGTAAATTAAATCAGCTTTATTGATTTTGTGTTGGTCTCTGCACTTTCAATTCCTCAACTTGATCTTTTTCCTGCATATTTTTTCGAAATATAATTCCTAATCATCGGTTTTTCAATCAGCAACTTGGTGAAATATTTTCAATTGCTGAATTGTTTTGAGCAATACACTTCAAGTCTCAGTTTAAAAATGCAACAGATAAGTATGTTTATTTGTTCCTCCCTTGGGCGTGCAGTGCTGAAATTTTAACGAAATTATTTAGTAAACTGATAATCAAATTCATTTGATATTATAGCGATTGTGTAGACTTGTGTAAAAATTTTGAACTTTGATTATCTGTTCGCTGTAGTGCGCGAAGACTGTAAACTTCTTAAAACCAAGAGAGAAGGAGAAAGTACTGCAAATGGAACTATATATTGTGGATAAGATAAGAAGCTGATGAAAAGATCGCTTCATATATTATTTTCCCACATACTTCTATTAAATTTTTTTGAAAACTTTTCTCGGACCCATCCTTCAATTAGGTGTTTCTGAGGAAGTGTTTAATTTCCCCGTCAGATATGGACATGGAGAGGTTTGACAAGTTCAATTTTTTATATGCGTTATTCTGAAAATCTTTTTAAAACAGAGTTCTGAAAGTTGTAGCAAAGTCTTTTTTGTGGTCAATTTTCCGTAAGAATAATGGTGTTTACGAGGAATGTATTAGGCTAATGCAAAACTCGGTGCAATTTTTTGCACCGGAAATTATAAATTATCAAACGGAGCTCAAGCATTAATTGAAATAAAAAAAATGGCAGTCAACACATTTTGTCAATAATAAATAATTTTATTTATTCCTTTAACATAAGGATCTGGGGATTCGATGTAAATATTTTCTATATTGTGTTAACCTTGAAAGCACTTTCACAGTGCAAAAGTTACGCAATGTTGCTTCAACTTAATATGCTGACTCCTCAATTTTTTCTTCAACACACCTGTAAAATGTGAGTTCGTTAGTTAAACTAGTTAAGAGTTTTTTTAGCTGCATAAGAATTGTAACAGTTGTGGATAATTGTCTTTAAATATACAAACGCTAGAAAGACCGATTTGGAGAAGAATTCGAAATATTATTCAAACATCCTCTATCAAGGAGAATGCAAGTAGAACATCAAGCATACAGAATACTTATATCGCGAGGACCTCTTATCACCGTGATAGATATTTTTATAGAGAACCGGTTGATACATCTCCTGATTCAGATTTAAGCTTGAAAAAGAGACGTGTGCTCTTGAGCTAATCATATAGTACCGATTTGCAACTACCTTTATAGATAGTTATGACTTAGATTCACTTGATGTTTATTGGAAGAACCTAGTTTTAGCTGTAGCTTCACAGATTGAATAAATCAGATGTAATTTCAAGCATTGTGTTTTTGGACCCTCACTTTCCATCAGCTGCAATTATTTGCAGACATCTCTTAATGGTACGTCAAAAAATGTCTTGAACATTGAACGCATGTCACCAGCCAGTGTTGATTCTGGTTTCGATTCGTCGTTTCCATCTTCACCGGATTGTTCACTGGATTCATCAGTTGTTGGAGCAGAAATGATGAAATACTACAAGGATTCGAGCTTTAAACGACGACATCAAACAACTACAACTTTGACTGGTACGCACTTACAATATCGTAATGTTGCTAATACTGATGATATATCATTCTTATTTGTTTGGTTATACACTGATGACACCATATCACATTTTTGATCTGGGCAGAGTACTGCAGTTTGCCGAATACATATCCCAGAAATTTCATGCAAATTTATAAGGAACATTATTGCATAGTTTTAAATGAATATTGCCAGCAGCGACAAATTATATGCACAGTTTAGCCATAAAGTTGGGTTTGGAATTCGTCTGGAATAATCGTAATGATAATATGACAGGTTATTATGCTATATCCTTCACTTTTGATGATTTTTTATTGTTTCAGTTACGTCACAGTGTCCGTTGTCAGTTTGTCAACCATCATGTTCGTCCTTGTCATCACCAATCAGTCGAACGTCGAGCGGTATTAGTACATTTAGTACGAGCAGTTTGATTAGTACCGATACAAAAGCAGATGAAAATTTTTGTCTTGACACATGCCTTCTGGAGAAAACAGCTTCACTAACTTCGTTATCATCCCAGTTACAACTGGTAGCTCATGTTCCTATTAATCATGATCCTGGAGTTTCATCGACCACTGGATTAGGTGCCACGTTTATTTATATTTAAAATTCATATGAAATTAAAAAACAAAAATTTATATTAAGAGTATGTTATCAACGAATAATTCAATGATCATTTTTTCAAAATAGAATTTCTAAAATTTCAAGCTGCTTGCTTATCCAAGACTTACTAATCTACCTTTTGATTATTGTGAACTCAGTACTTTCGAAAAACAGAACGGAGTGGGATCGAAGGAAAATTCAAAATTACTGAAAAAAAGTTGGGTTACGAATATTATGGAATTTTGATATTGTATCTGTTGGAAACTGAACTATTCTTGATTGGAATTCGTAATTTTTATTAAACAACAGTGCGGAATTACTTACAGGATGTTCAACGATCCCTTCTTTTTCCGGGAGTTCGTCTTCAGAAGTCAGTGAGCTTATGTTAAGAGTACGTTGTCACTGGAAAAGTTGCACGGAACGATTTGTATGCGATAACGACCTCTATGATCATGTTGTCAAAGTAGAATTTTTGAAACTTCAAGTTCATTTATTTTTTCTGTTGCTTATCCAAAAAAAGCTTGCTGATTTAAGCATTGCAAGGATTGGGGTGGAATTCTATCAGAAACAAAATCCCTGACTGAGAGATTCACTAGGAATCAAAAAACCTTATCTAGAAATAACACATGTTTAGTCTCATTTGGAATTGCTGCGCCCTTCGGTATATTTGGATGGTAACAATAATAATAGTGGCAGCGGCGGTTCACAGTCACAAACGATTGGTCGTTTAAAAAATTTAATGTGCCAGTGGGGGAGCTGTAAAATGGGTTTGAGTCGTGGTGACTTTCAAAAACAGGTGCGCTTTCTTTTTTATGCTCGTATGTTGTATAAATAAGAAAAATGAATAATATTTGTTTCAAAAAACCTGCAATTTATTATGTGTTTTCCCTCTTTATTTTTTGCTAAAATATTTCCAAAAATCAAAAAACTTACTATTCAGTTCATTTGGTTGGAAGAACATTTTACAACACGACATGCTGGTAAAGCGCAACCATATATGTGTCTCATAGAGGGTTGTTCGTCAAGATTTACATTAAAACGGTCACTGGAAGAGCATCTCAGAACGGGTCATGAAAAAGTGAAAGGTTTGATCTTTTTCTTTATAAAACTGAAGAATTTCTATTATTTCATAGGTCTTTCTTTATTTATTTGTTCTGTTTTTTGTACTAACCAGGAGTTGTTTTAGCTCTTTTCTTGTGGTCACCGTCATTGGGATACTGCCTGATGAATGGGTTTAGTTTAGGGTGCTGGGTTTAGCTGAACATTTGACATGATATAAAGTGTGTTCTAAGACACTTGCAATGGATTTATCTTTAGAAAATGACATCGACGTAAGTCATACCAAATAATGTCTAAGTCAAAACGCTTTGCATCCAGTCCGAAATTATTGCAATTACCACCATTACTCGATGCTGTTGATAGATCTGCAACATTTCTGTACCTTGTAATTATATAATGAGTGCAGTGAGAGATGAGGTGTGTTTTTGTGCATTATGCGTAGTGCATTAACTGGGAGTCAAAGACCGTATCTCCATTCCTTCTGATTTAATTAATTTTAAAATTTACAGCGAAACGTCCTCATGCTGAAGAAGGTGAATTGTCGAGAGTCAAATCCTGCTACCAATGGACACCACTACCTTACTATATACCAGGTAAGCACTCTTCGAAAATTTTCAACAAATTTATACTTTTTCTTCTGTCAAAAGAAACTTTTCATGCCGGTGGAGTATTATTTTAATAAGCAAATCTACGGAAAATAGAGTAAGGGGATTTGATCAACATGGGTTGTCGCAGTTTTTTGTGCAATAAATTTCGAATATAAATGTTAATTATAAAAGTCTCTCTTTATTTATTTTCCTACTACTTTGTTTGTTCTTTTGTTTTTTCTTTTTATTAGAGTTTTGGATAATAAATTTGATTTTGCTGGAAATGTGAATTTTCAGGTGAAAAAAACGATTTTTTGGATCATGCAACAGAAGAATGGATCGTCATGCGACTGCGACAATATGAGCGGACAAGTGGTGCTTGCTTTATACCTCGTGAACCTGCAACACCTCGTGGTGGTGCTGCTTATCGTAAAAGACGTCGAATACTTACTTTTGCCATCGAACCATTGAAAATTGCTCCGAAAGTATGTTCTGTTTCCATTTTTAGCCAACGAGTAGTATAATGTTTCGAAACGGGTAATGTTTGAAGAAGTACTGCTTATGTAGAAGGTAGTAGTAGCAAACAATTTAAATTTGTTTATCCTTTCAAAAGTCAAAACGATTCTAATTCTTTAAAGATTTTTTCGAAAAATTTCCGGAAGTCATATTTTATCAGAAGCTGTTGCCTTTACGTTTTCCTATGGAACTCCTTTTTAATAAGTAGTTTTTGTATCTACCAAAGTCGTTGAAATGCACTGGAATGAGTACTGATGAAGCATTTTTAGGTTATTTCTGACACGATGGAATTAGCGGATGCAAAATCACTTATCAGAAGTGCTTTCACTAGTACAAAGAGTTGTACAAACTCTGTGGATAGGACCATTACGGATGGTAGCTAATCAGTCGATTGTCAGCTAATTTATTCATAAGATGGAAATTTTTTGGAGGTGCGCAGTAATACCGCTTTTGCTATTTCATTTGAATTGAAAGATTCAGGGACAGCAAAAAACAACTGGAGTTGTTTTTTTTTTTTTTTTTTTTCGCCATAAATATTAAATTATTTTAAGCAGCAGATAAGCAAATAAACAAGTTGAAACAGTATAATGGTGTGGTTAGAGGGGTTAGTTATATATAAGCCACGCATTTATCTAGTTAGCAAATTATTAGGTCATATTTCATTTATCTTAACGAACAAAGGATAATGAATTGAATATTGATTCCAATAATATTATAGAAATTGAAATTATCTTTTTCATTTCTTTTGCTAATGTTTCTGCATCTTTCAGATTAGGTATCTTTCGACAGCCAACGTAACTTCATTTTCATATACATGTTGTTTCGTTGTTTTTTTTTATAAATAACAAATTGTTATTTTTGTTTTGTTTTCAGCCTAAGATCTCGTATGGGACATGCGTACTTATGTCATAGGTATGCATAAATCCATAAAAATTGGCTGATTGATTGGTCGTTTGAATCATTGGTTAACTGGTTCATTGTTATTTTAAATTTTCTCAAAAAATGTCCTGACTGAGGTTGAATTTTCTTTACTGAAAATGAAAAAGTATTAACTGGAACTGTTGTGCATCCTTCATAATCTTGTGCAACTCGTATTTCATTGTTCTAACATTTCGTTCTGCTTTTGTAGGTATTTTGTCATTTTTTTAAATTTAACTGATCAGTTAATGATGTGAAAAGCAGGGATGCGAGTTTATGAACTTCATGATTTTACAATCAAAGTGGATAACAAGGTATCATTTTTCAGTTGTTTTTTGTTAAGAAGCATATGTTGTAATTAGTGTTCCCTTTGTATTATGTGTCTTACTAATCAGTGTCAGTTACATTATTCCGGCTTTCAACTCGTATTATCAGTAGGGAATAAGAAGGCCTGTGAGTGCAACTGATTTTAATAATTTCTGTGATTTCCGTAATCCGTGACTTCTATTCTATGTGGTGCATTTGTTTCTCTTTCCAACTGGAATCAACACCAACATTTAGGTCTAATGCATATCTACGGGTCCTATGTTTCTTTGACAATAACAATTGATTGCTCCTTATACCTAAGACTATTTATCAGGAAAATTTTTGTCACCACATTACCAATAGCCCGTTACATTATCATGACATGAGTTGATATTTCTTCAGTCGTCCCTTCTATGTCCTTTTTGTCTGTCCGACGCGCCGAAAAAAACTTGTGAATAGAGTAACCAGCCCTATTAAAATACACATATATTACGTATTATCCGAGTGATTAAAAGGCATACCTGTTAGAACAGGTAGCAGGTTGTTAGCTGCATTATTGGGAAGTCGTCACTTCTTCCTGCCAGTCAGGTGCTCCTACTGTTCCTCAGGAATTCTGATTATTCCCTTTCATTGTCTACTATCCACTACAATTGAGATTGAACAATGGCTTGCACATATTCTAAATCTGTATATTTCTTGGCAAGTTCATTTTTGCATACCTCTTTTGTTTTATATTGTTTCATGGAGGGAATGAATAATAATACTTTTGTTGTTAATTGCTTAGGCATGTTTAAACCTGCTGTTGATTAGCATCTTCCCGCTTCATTGGGGCAAATGTCGCATAAATTAAGCGCAGCTCATCGCAGGAATCATAAATGAACGAAAAAGAATTAGAAAACTAGTTCTGCTCGTTCAGCAGATCCTACCCAGCTCTATTACATCTCTAACCATCCGTCATCCATCAAGGTTAATTGCTTAGAACAATAAGTCGTATGCGTCACAATTATGCATATAGTAGTAACATGGCAGGAGAACAAACTTTGCAAGAAATAAATGTATATTGCTTAAATAGGAACAATCGTATTTCTTTGAGCATTTTTTAAAAAGGGGAAGTTATTATGTGTCATACTATTGTCCCTTAACAAAACAATGAGAAAGAAATAAGACGTAATGTGTACATGCTGTCAATAAACAGTAACAATTACGATCAGATTTGAAGAATATTAGTGCAACTTATCGATCAAAGAACGCCCTCATATCTGGTGGTATTGTTGGCTTTCTTTCAAGATCTTCGTAATGCAATGTCATTTCCCTCGGCATCTGGAATAAACTTTTAAGGATTGAGTTGCGTCGATCATGATGGACTCTAATTTTGCATTTTTATTTTCTAGATTTGTTTGAGGGTGTCACTATTAGCTCATTAAATTCCGCATATGGCATCCGTTAACTCTTGGTTTCATCCTTGGAAACAAACATCATGTAAAATGGGTATTATTGCTTCTTACTTTCCTCCAAAAGATTGGATCGAACACATTATATACCCCTCTTTCAAATGTAGTTGTACGTTCAACGATACTTCCGAAATTCAAACGTTTCACCCAGGCACGTTCCACTTTGTGATAACGCCACTCCCTTCCGTGCCTGGAGAAAGAAGTATTCGAGACACTTGTAGTTCCAATTTACAACAGAAAGTAATAGGCTCGATTAGCTTGAATATCAGACTGGCTGGAATATCAAACTTAAAAACTCACAGCTCATAAGCAGCGGCAATTTGATATTGCTCACCCGGGTAATTATAAAAGATATAAAATAATATGTCCTCTTCTAGCAATGGGAATTTGATTGGTGCTAACTTGTTGCCAAGCAGTAAATTCGTCCTATACACTTCCGGTATCTGTACTGATTTTACTTAAAAAAGTTGCACAAAAATGGAGATATTATCAAAAACAGAGAGAAAAAGAGGGAAACTGCATTAATGGTGATCATATCAGCGTGACAGTAAGGACAGCTATCCGTATGGGTTAGTTCAATGCTGCTTCGTCAGGTAAGCATAACAAATGCCGATACCCTCCTGAATGAGGCTTACGATGACTACCACCAATATTAAATGCACTTAATCTTCTAGTAGTTCGTTGCGCTTGATGCTAGCTCGGTTATTAGCAGTTCTCCTCCATTAGCAGTTCTTCAAGAGATAAGCTCATCATAAAATGTAAATTCCAACCCTAGTCTCTATGTTCGGTGCATGATTTGGCTTGTCTGCCCACGGTCCTCCATAATTTAGATAAATTTCTCGTCTAAAACTAAGAAATGAATGATATATTTTCAATTTAAAGGCCTTCTAGACATGACGGCGGACTAAATCTAATTCGTCAAATTAATCTCAAACCCCGAATCTCAGTTTTTCATCCTTGATTTTGCAAGGGATTGTCTCCCATTTCTTGTTCCACTTTTTGCTAATTCATCCATTATCCTATTGGCCTTATCAATTGATCTATTTGACTTACCTGCCACGTCCATTTGAGTCCGGTACTTCAAGGCTGAAACAGAGAAGACACGCAGCATAACAGCATAACTACTGAACTTCAATACAAAAATAATTTATTTTATTGCAATTAAAGTTACTTTATTTAAATAATAGAAGGATTTGTAGTAGAAGCAGATATTTAAAGTTGAAGAATTTGGTCATCAGAACAAATGCAGAAGATTGATTGCTTTGGGAGAGTTGAATATTCCGAAATGAATTCGATTCTTGACAGCGTACCAAAAGGAATTAGAAAGATCAGATTTGCAAAGACTCCTTTGACTGTTAAGATTGGCTTGCTAGTTTCCTTCAGTTTATTCAAATCTCTATAGATAACAACTAGTTTCTATCCTGCTCTCTTTTCTCTCCGCATCTCCGTTCGCTTTTTCGCTATTTCTTCGTAATTAGGATTTTATTAGTGAATACCGAAAAAAGGCTCGCATAGTTTAATTTATATTGAATTTTAATAAGTAAACTTACTTAGAGTTCATACCCAAACCCATATTTACTGGATCTTCACCAACAGTAAGTGTTGCAAGTTTAGGATCAAACTGCATTCCACGATGAGCAGATAAGAATCCAATCATTCCAAACTGGTCAGCCACCATAGTTGGTGGAATATTAGTCACTGTACCTTTAATTTTCTCGAAGTTAGTATGTATGTGATGTAAACAATCAATAGGTAACTACTCAGTGAGTAAAATCAGACATCCAGGCAAAACAATAGCATTAGTTTAAATTTTGATTATTTGAACAAAACAAAAGATGAACAAACCATCTGGATACATCTGTATGTTCATTCTCGGTTCAGGTTGCAAACCTCGGAAGAAATGCAGTCCAGACCTAGGAATGACTCCAACATTTGGGTTACCCATCTATAATTCGCTTCATTTATTCATCATTTTATCAAAATCGAACTTTTGGATAAGATTAAAAATTCACATACCTATTTGTAGCCCTTCAATTTTTGCTGAGTAATTTTCATCCATGATAGATAAAGAAGGAAGCACTTTTCAAAGGCTCATTAAACAATAAACTCATGCAAGTGAGAAAGGAACCTGCAAAGATGAAGGTCCTGATGTTGGCATCACAATTCCACTTGGCCCGCTCGTAATTCCACTTGGCCTGCTCGTAATTCCACTTGGCTCGCCCACAATTCCACTTGGGCCGTCCACAATTCCACATAGGCCGCTCATAATTTCACTTGGGCCGCCCATAATTCCACT